ATGTTAACATCTTACTGATCATCAACATCTTGGAAGATATTATTATTTGCATATGTGTCTGGTTTTATTCTATTTTTTACTGTATTTTATATTGTTTTTATTGCATTTTAACTAATATTTGTTGTTGTTTTATTGTGAACCACCCAGAGTCACTTTTTTGTGAGATGGGCGGTATCTAAGTTAAATAAATAAATAAATAAATAAATAAATAAATAGTCATCCAGCAGGCAGAAGAGCAGACTCTTTGCTTCTGCCACACTCTTTTCGGTTTACTTCAATAAGCACAGCAGATGGCTGCCAGATACAATGGTATGCATAGTTCTGGGCCATTCTCTGTGTTAACATTTTGCTGAAAGTTTTTCTAGCCTAATATTACCATTTTATCTAATGAATAAAAGCAAGACCTGTCCAAGACACCATGTTTTCATATTGTTGTTGGACAAACTATGTTTCCGTCCTGATGATGGAGAAGTTTTCCTGATTGATTTATATAATAAGCCAGGTTGGATGTTTGCCCATTAAGATAAACTTCCAAAGTTTCTAAATTCCATAAACTATTCTTATATTTGCATATTTATCTATGAAAACATATTAAACTTTATATTTATTTAATCTATGCCTCAATCATATGACTCAATCATAGAAGATTCTCAGCAGCTCAGAGTAAACAGAACACAATAATCAAGCAAAAAAAAAAAAATCTTAAAAATACATTAAAACAACCCACAACAATACATGGTGTCAGACTATGGAAGTCCTCTGGAAAAACTCTGTTTTCAGCTTCTTCTAGAAAACTGATAATGTTGGACATTATCATATAACAGAGGTCCAAGGGAGGCCATTTCAAAGGAGTGGCCCCATCATGGAGAAACAACACCTCTGAACTTTGGAAACATAGGACATTCCAAGGCCATCACAGAATTTCTTCTGTCTACAACCCTTAATTATGGAGTGTTGCATCAAAGATGCAAATATAAATAATTCTTATTCCATATTGCAGTTTATTTGCCCTGTGCTCAATATCATTCAGTGAAATCTTGCAAATTTATCAGAGCTTGGAGAGAGATGATAAATAGTCTTGGGTGTTATAAGCATCATATGAGTTAAACTGCAAATGTTTACAATGCAATAATGGACTTTTAAAAAGACATTGAAAAATGATGGTAGCATTTTAACAGAGTGCAAACCCAGGACAAGTCATATAATGTATAAACAAAATGAAGCTTATATTACCGGTTTAGCATTTCTGAAATGTAAGGACATTAGGATGTCCTTAATATTTCAATTATTTTCCATATAGTCTTTCCTCTTCACAGATTTCAGCACTACTATAAGCATGTTGTGTTTTCAAGCAATGATTTAAGCATAAAGTTAGAAAAGATGCTGTCAAGGATCATGTAAAAATTAAATGTTCTTAATCCTGGGTGATTCTGATTTGCTATTTTTGTCATCTGAGGTAGCTCATAAATTGATGACTGCCATGACAATCTTGACAATGTCACTTGCGAAACATTAGGTCTGGGTTTTACCTCAGAGCAAATGAAATGTATTCTGGTTCTGGGCAAATTTCTGTTAGTACTGATTTCTGTTAGTAAGTGATCTGTTAGGACAGATCACTTGCTTATGACCATGGGGTTAACTGGAGCCACCAACTCCTGAAAGGAGGCTAGGCTAATGATGGTTGACCTCATGTGCCTGATGGAGGGTTTCCAGATGTGAGCTTCCCAATCATTTGGAGGGTAGCTCTGTTGGATGCTTGGTTAACCACTGGAGAATAGAAATGACTCAGGTGCTAGACAGCATTGCACTTGAGTAGCCTCTCCTCATCCACCAGTTGCAAGAGGATTTTTATTCTCTGAATAACTTTGCGAAATGAAGGATGAAGAGATGCCTGGAGTGATGATGCTTGAAAATGAAGAATGAGTATGACCAGAAACAGATACAAGCTGAAATTCATTGCATCTGTGGAATGTTAAGACACTTGTACTGTTTAAACTGATTTGGATCATATTAGCAAAGGACTGTCTGGAAGATCTACCAAGAATTGTGCATGATCTCCATCATTTCTTTGATAAAAATGTTCACATTCAGTCTGAGCTAGAAGCTGGATAGATAGGATTTCCTGAGATAATAAAGGAAACCTCTGTCCTATTCTAGATGGACTGGCAAACCCATTGATGGGTAACACCAGATCTGTGGAGTATAAATTAGGCAAAAAAAACCCTGAAACTTGTGGATGTGATTTAAATACAGCCAAAAAGAGCAAGTCTGTTGCAGTTTGTTAGTCTGGGGCCAAAGATGCTCATGATATGCAGGCCACAGTTCCATTTTCAGGATAAGGAATTGGAGAAATTAGGAATGAAAGAGAAACAGTTGTGCAGAATTGTTTCTAACAGGAAGACAGAACATAGGAAATATTCTTAAATAGCTGGAGTGTGATGCCTTTCCTAATTAGAGGAGTTGGCACTTTTTCCTGTAAAGTGCTCCACTGCTTAGCCCTTTTTAGTTGATGGTGCATTTTTGGCCTTGGCACTCTCCCAAGTTCAGGATCTGACTCTTTATTCCCTGAACTGGTAAACTGTATGGGGTCTCAGGCATTATTTTCAGGTGTCTAACAGTTTATTGACTTCCCAGCTGTGAGTCTACCAGGTTCTCCTCTTCAGTTTCAGAATCAAAAGTCTATGACAAGAATGGCAATGATAACTATGATTTGGTCTTTTCAAATCTGCATATTTTAAAGAAGCAGAGTCTTTTATGATGGTAGATTTGACCTCTGTCTTGCCATTGATCTACTTTATTCCTTTCCTTCTTGGGTAGTAAAGAGAACAAGAATTTGGACACAGGCTATAATCAATGCCTCCTTGTGGCCTGCCCTGGATCCAAAAATGTTGGACAACTATTCCACCATAGGGTAAATTATTCCCTCAGGGAAGGTTGCTAGTCAGATTTGTATCATCAAAGGTCCCCTGAAGAATTTTTCAAAATTCTCTCCTATTAAAATACACAATTTAATTGACAGAATAGTCTTAATCCTGTTTCAGTGGGGATTATTCCTTAGTAAGTAAGCATAGGAGTGCAGTCTGATGTTGATTATTTTGTCTTTAACACAGTTAAATCATGTAGTGGTTGCTAGAAAAAATATTAAAAAGCAGAAAGATGGATGAATTATAAATAGTGCATACCCATGAATTGAGATACAATCTGCTTTTGGGTTT